TGTTTTGGGGGTGGCTGAGATGCGGCTGGTTTTTGCGGCTCTGATAATTACAAAGTACCTGGAAGTCATTTAGCGTTATTTTCACAAGTCTGCTTTCCTGTGGGCAGAAGGTGTCACAAGCCTGTGGTGCTTCCCCTGAGCTCCTCTTCTATCAGCACCCAAGGGTTTGTTGGTAGCAGAGAAGAATTAGAAACCTCTGTGTTGTGCCCTGCTCTCCATGCTGCCTGCTGCTCCCAGCAATCCTGCTGTTGCTGTTCCAGCTGTCCAGCTGTTCGCAAGTGTGGTGTTGTGCAGATCATCCCGCCCCAGTGCCTCAGTTTCCCCTGCAGTGTGGGGACACTGATACCGGTCCCTTTGCAATGGGGGGATGAGAAGCACCCTTGGAGCACAGACATTAACATGTCCTCTGACATATCTCCTCTGCTGGCTGATCTTGTTCTTGCAGGATTCTTCTTTAAAAATAGTTTTGTTTGGTTGTTTCTTAAAACCGGGAGGTCACTTACCTGTGGGGTGACCTTAGATTGCTCCTGTCACAGCCCTGCGGTTCTGTTTTCCAGTCTGATAAATAAGGATAACTCTTTTTAAGGCAACTTTGAGGATTCAACGGTGACTGCTTAAAAGAAACCTCACAAACGTGTGCCAGGCTTTTGAAGGGCAGGACTGCTCGCAGCAGCTCTGCTTGCAGCAGCTCTGCTCAGGGATCCCCTTAGCAAAACAGGAGCAGCCATCTGAAATACCCAAACCCAGGCTGGTCTCACTCTCTGGATGGCCTCTGTTGCTCTTCATTGTGCTGCTAATGATCTGCAAGCAGCCTTTAAGGGTTATGGAATGTAGCTGGAGTTGTGGTCACTGTGGCCTCAGCTGTGCACTGCTGCCACCTGCCCGGGCTGGGTTCCCGGTGAGCAGCAGGACCCGCTGCTGTCGGAGTAGGGAGAAGGCGTATCGAGTGCCGGGGATGCTCTGCAAGTTTCATGAGGCAGGAAGGCACAAGCAGCCTTGGCACAGGCGCTGCTGCCTCGCTCCTCAACTTGCATGACAGAGTCAGGAGTGTGGGGGATACTTTGGACTCTACTTTATCCGCTTCTATTTGTATTAGTGGACAAAAACTTGGCTCTTTTCTGCCTATCTCTAGCGGAGCTGCGCAGCACTGGCACTGTGTGGCAGAGGCTGGGTTCACCTCTGCTTTATTTATTGTCTGTGTGCCTTGGTGCTGCAAGTCATGTTTTTGCTGAACTTCCTCTGTGCTGCTTGGAGACGGATGCCTGCTGGGACATCTTTGTTCTTCCCAGGACAAAGCAGTAATTCCTCAGCAAATAAAAATCACGGTGCTACATACGTGACTCCATGCAAAAGCAAATGCTCTGTTCTCCCCAAGTGGAATAGTTGTGCAAGTGTTGTGCTAAGAGACCCAGCACTTGGAGCAAAAGGATACTTGGCTGGAGGAGCCAGGATGAAAACCTCTCCCCTGCATCCTGGGCCTCCTGTTCAGGCCACCAGACTTTTCCACCCACCCTCCTGTGCTGGTCTGTACAGTGCCTGGAGGTGCCAGCCAAGGCGAGGGCTCTTCTGAGCAGTGCCTGCTTTGCAAAACATGCCCAGATACAGGAGAGCAGCATCACGCTGGTGTGGTTGCAAGGTCTGGTGTGGGCAGAGCTGAGGGGAGCAGCCAGCCCTGCCTGCTGGGTTTGGCCTCGCTGCCCCCCTGGGCACACAGGATTGGTCAGAGTTACTGAAATCTCTTTGCTTTCCAGCCTGTGCCTTCGCTGGTCTGTGGAACTGTGTCACCATCAACCCCCTGAACATCGCGGCTGGCGTGTGGATGATGTGAGCAGAGTTTCTGTTTTCTTTTCCACCAGGAGGGAGGTTGGTTCATTAATGGAGCAAGGGGCAGAGCTGTCTGCTGGGGCAGTGGGCGTGAGTTCTTTTGTTCTGTCTTTACCCCTTTGTAGGTAAATACAGAGATACCCTTATCCAAAATACGTCTGGGGTGCAAGGGTTTGGGAATTTCAAGGTGTGGGGAGAGCGCAGGGAGGTCCAGCCCTGCCATTCCCTTTTGGCGGCAGTGGCTGGTCTCGGGGGGTGGGGGCACTGCTGACCCTCCTCTGGGCCAAGTGGGTAGGATTAACTCTGGTTTGCTCTGTCTGGAGGCTCAACGCCTTCGTCCTGTTCCTGTGCGAAGCCCCCTTCTGCTGCCAGTTTATCGAGTTTGCAAACGCCGTCTCTGCAAGGGCAGACAAGCTGCGGCCCTGGCAGAAAGCTGCTTTCTACTGCGGGTGAGGATGCTCCTGGGGTGCGCTGTGGTGCTGAAGCCGTCCCGGGAACCGCGTTGGGATGCATATGGGATGCCACGATGCATGGGCATCCCTCCGTCCTGCGGGGCGTGGAGCCTAGCTTTGAGGGCTGCCCTGTCTTGCAGGATGGCTGTGTTCCCTGTCGTGCTCAGCCTGACGCTCACCACGCTCTTTGGAAATGCCATTGCGTTTGCCACTGGGGTTCTTTATGGCCTGTCGGCGCTCGGCAAAAAGTAAGAGAGCACTGTCTGCTCGTGGAGGGGAGGGGAGGGTGGTCCTTCAGCCCTCACCCCATCTGCCTTGCTAAGGCTATGCTTTCCTCTTGTACTAACCATGCTTTCGGGTATAAATGGCGCCAGAGAACATTTTCCTGCCATCATCTCCAAGCTGTGGGAGGGAAGGTCCTAGGGTTTGCTGAAGCTCTGAGCTTAATCTTGGGAGCTCGGTCTGGGTTGCCCTGTGGGTCCCGGCTGTCTTTGTGCAGTGGCTGGATGGATGGGCCCAGCTCTGGGGGCAGTGACCCGCGTTGGTGGGGTTGGAGAGGGCCAGCAAATCTCATTTCACTCCCGGCATCCCTCAGCGCAGAGAGACCCAGGCCCCAGTTGGGAGACCTGTCTGCTGGGTGCTGTACCCACCATGGTGGCCAGCTGGAGCCCAGAGCCCCACTGTCCCTTCTCTCTGCAGGGGAGATGCCATTTCCTATGCTCGGATCCACCAGCAGCAGAAGCAGATGGATGAAGAGAAGCTGACAGGGGCTCTGGAGGGACAGACTCTCTGAAGCATGCGAGTTCAGGGTAACCTCTCCTGGACACTGCGATGGTGAAACTATGGAAATCCACTGCCCTTCCCTCTGCCCACTCTCCTCTCTGCTACACTACGATTTCCCTGGACACTGCAGCAACTGGAAATCTCAGGGGCTGGGGCAGGTTGTGCCCTCTTCTCACACCAGCAGCCAGACCTCAGTGTGTTGGCCCCTTTCTCCTCCTCAGCCCTCAGCCAGATATCTCACAGTCTCCCTATTCTTTAGGTTTTTGTGGCTTGTTGTTTGTTTTTTTGGGTGGTGATGGTGTTGTTTCTTCTTTTCTGCAGAGGTGCTGGTTTTTGAGTGCTGTTACCAGCCTGAGCAGCAGGTAGCCTTTCTCTGAAGTGATGCCTGCAAGCAAGCAGAAGATGCAGTGCTCCTTTTGGAACTGCTCTCTGCATGGGGTGAGGAGGGACAGAGCTGACATACCAGCTCCTCGCCTGCACTGGTCTCACGCCGGGGGTGACCTGCCACTGCACACTACATGTTCTATAGTAACACTCCCTGGTGTGGCCCTTCCCAGGTATAACACGTGAACCCAGCCTCTGGCAATGCATGGTGATTCTTAAGCTTGGTCTTCTGATGAGTATGTTTTCGTCTGGGTCCAGTTAAGGCAGGCGTTGGAAAGGACTTCCAGCAAAAACCCATGCAAAGACCAGAACCATCTCTGCAGAGGAGCTGCCAGAGGTGCTGGGGCAGATCCTGGTACCTACAAAGTGCAGTCCCTGCTTCCCCCGCATAGAGCTGCAGGCACTTCCTGCAATTTACTTGAATTACAAGAATTAATTACTTTGTCTTAATAAGGGTGCTTTTCTTAAGCTTCACTCTTTTCCTGGGGAAGAAGATAAATAAGGTTTGCTTTACCTCAGCTGGGAAAGGGTACGATTGCTTGAGACAAGTGGGATTTTTCTTGGTGTTAAGGAGCATCTTTCTCTTGTGAGCCCAGGACTCTGCTCCATTATCTCTCACTCTCTGTCCATGCTCCTGTGACCCATCCTTCCCCACAAGGGACCTGGTTTTTGTTTCTGTTTGGTACAGTTTTTGCTCTGGCCTCATGTTCTGTCTGTATCAATCATGAACTGGTTTTGTATGGGAAGGTGGCATATCCTTCCTTTGCAAAACCAGAGAAGACTGCATCATTTCAGTTCAGATAGCTGGGAAGTGTTGCTTCTTTATTCCAGGCTCCATCAGTGGTTTTCCTGTTTTCTGTTTGCTTTGTAACATGCAGGACAAAACAAAGCTCAGATCCTCCTCTTCTTGTCAGGGTTTCTCTGTGGAGGTTAATTTATTTGTTTTTCATGATTGCTTTTTATTGTCATTAGGAAAAGGGGGGATAATTTAGTTTCGTTTATTTATTTTGCTGGGGGTCATTTTCTTTGGACACAGGAGGGAAGAGTGCTCTGCTTCCTGTCCTTCAAAGGGCTGCCTCATTCCGCTGGGGGGGTCTCTGAACCCTCTGAGCCCCGGCTGCTGTGACGGGGATGCTGTAACTATAGAATCCTCTTTCAGCCTTCAGAGCATTTCTCAGATTTCTGAAAAGTGTGTTGTCTTTTGGCCCCTTTGTCTTCTTCTGGGCCACTGGCTTGACAAAGTTTGGTGTCCTCCTCTCCTGGGAGAAAGAAGGGAGGAACACTGGGCTGTAACTGCTGGGTTGGAGGTTTGTACTCACTTGGCAGCCACAGCAGGTAGCAGCTATGGTGAGCAGTGGCAGCAGGGACTGCAGCCTGTTTTTCGTCCTCTGCCCTGGAAGCAGAGCTCCCGCTGCCACCAACGCTTTGTGGTCCCATTTGAATCCCTGGGGAACCGGAAGGGTTGTGCTGTGGTCAGAGAAATGCTGTTGGAGGCTGACTGCTGTCATACGGGTCTGTCCGCCAACCACTCTTCAGCTTTGGAGTGGTGTCGTGTTGGAAACTATCTATTTTACATGTCTCTCCTCTAGGTATGGTGTGTGTTCACATCAAGGGAACACCAGCACATCCTTGGCAGGGCCTGGGGAGGTGGCTGGGTATGGAAGTAGCCTGTGCATTGCAGCAGGAGCAAAATGGTCCCTGGAGATTGGCGGGCTAAGCTGCCAGCTAATGTTAGCTCTTGTTTCTTCCTTGGAGTTCAGGGAGGTGTGAGGATTTACACCAGTCAGAACACGGCTTGGGTTTATTTACACACATGGGCCCCTGCAGCTGGATGCTGGGGAGCCACTTTGTGCTAAGCCCCTTTCCCCCCCGGCCTCTGAACTCAGTTGCTCTGACACCAGCTCGTCTGGGACGCAGAGTAGGCGCCACTAGCCCAGATGCAGCTTGTTTCAATAAAAGCTCTGCCATTTCAGAGCCCCTGTGCTGGTCCCTGCTGCTGCACACTGTACATGGGCCACTGGCAGGGAACACAGCCTCCTGCGTGGGTCACGCTGCCTGAAGCAATGGGGTGCTGCAGGGAGAGTACACAGCAGCCCAGGGGTACCTGAGCCGTGACAGCCTCTCTGCTTCTGGAGGCAGAGGTGTCCCTGTGCACAGCCTTTACCGGCTGGTTCGAGTGCTGAGTCCTGCCTAACAAACAGGACATCTGCTGTGATTTCAGGGGGGTTTGGGGACTTAAGTAGTGCTTAGTAGAGGAATGTTGAACATTGATGCACGTAGCTACGAGCATGTCTTTGGTAGTGACTGCTTTGCTCTGTGAGTAGTTCCACAGTAGCTTTAGTGACAGGAGGTGAAAAGCAAAGCAGAGGTGATTGATAGAGAAATGCTTGCAGCCTGGTCTCCATCCGCGGTGATGAACAACAGAACTTGTAGGACCCTCACTGGCTTCATCTGATTGTCCTCATGCCGCAGACCAGCAGCAGTCCCTGTTGCAGGCAGGTGCTGCTCCAGGTCACTCGGAGGCTCGTGGGCACAGAAGAGTTGTGACACTTGCTGTGGATGGTCTGACCTCCGTGTGGACAAGACACTTTTTGTGGAGATAGAAAGGACCTTTAGAGTAGTAGCATCACAGTAGTTATATGCCTATTCACAGTGCATGGTGGTTATTAATTGTGTTTAGAGGCACTGTTGGGGTGCTTGGAGCTGTGTAAGGATAAATGAAGTTAAAAGCCTGCTCTAGAGATATTACAGGCTCAACCCAATCCCTGCTGATGGCATCCAGGCTAGTGGATGGATTGTCCACAGGGTCTCTATGGAAGAGGTTCTGCTTGCCAGGTCTTGGAAAGGCCTCTGGGGTACGATGGGACAGAAGTTTTGTTACGTGAGAACTCAAGAGCAGGTGATGCATTGATCACAGTTGCTGATACTAAGTGTGAAAAGACACTGGCAGCACATGTGCACGTGGCAGTGGACTGTTACACTATTCAGCATGAGCTGTGCACGTCTTACCCAGGTGCACTGATACTGCTGCAACTCTTCCATGTCCCATTCAGTCATGAAGTTGACAGCACTTGTGCATGTTAACTCCACTGTGCCCTGGGGCTGTCTGTTGGGCCTGAAGAGAAAAGCAGACGCTCACCTTTTACTGCATACCAGGACCTTGCTGCTCTGGGCAGGAGCTGATTTTGTAACACCAACTGATTCTCTGTGTGTGCAGTGAATAAAAAGACCATTCTACCTCTGGAAAGAGCCACTGTGATTTCTGAGACTCTAAAAATTGTAGCAAAACTGCTCAGACTTTCCATATTGAAGAAAGGAGTCACTCAGAAAATACTTCTCCAAGGAGGTTCTCGCAGAACATGAAGAGTCCAACCTCATTTCATATTTGGGCATTTCCTCCTTAGGCCAAGCTTTGGGAAGCTCAATTAATCTTTGTCATTTTCTTTTCCTTAGGAAAAAAAAAAAACATCCACTGTCTTCAGGGAAGGATTTCACTGAAGTGAAGATATCAAGACCTGGTCCATAGCCATGTGAGCCAGAGAACACTTTAGCACAGGGCTGCCAGAGATCCTGATCTTCAGAAGGTCAGTGGAAAGCAGAGGCTCTTGAGACCTCTCATAATCAGGCCATGCTTAGAACCGTCATATTCCAGCCAGGACAGAACATCTTTCTGGAAATGGGTCTCAGCAGCAAAGGTTGGGTCTAATGCTGAATTTTCTTTGTGGTTTTAATTTTGGCCCATCTGTTCCTCCCTCCCAGACTGCTTTAAATCAATGCTCTGATAAAGCGTATCTTCTCTTCAGGGATTTCTCTCATCTCCTGCTGTAGGGGTTCTAAACAATAGCTAGCATATCTTGAGATCTGGGCCAAATACACGCTATGTTACCCCGTGCTTTCTTGTCACAGTAGAGGACACAAGCATCTCCACCAGCTCTCAGGGTACCAAGTGCATTTCAGAAGGTTGGGCAAATGCTTGGCCAAATCATCTCCCAGTTCAGCCTTTGTTGTCCTGCCCTTTTGGGAGAAGTTGGATGTGATACTCAGCAAGTAATCAGCAAGGCCATTTGTTCCTTCCATAATCACATCCTGCAGCTGTGTTTTACCTGGGGTTAGGCTCTAAGTAAATTATAATGTCGTTAATCCTGCAGGACACACAGGAAAAAATGGTAAGATAATTTGCTACTAACTATGCAGTTGAAATCTTAAAGTGATGGAGGTGGAGGCTTCACACACGACTGTGATGGAGGTGCATCCACCTTTCTTTGTGGATGAGTAAAACCCTGCGGTGGGAAGCACCCACCCCAGTACAGTACCCACCATGTCTTTCCTACGGTGAATCACTTGCACTACAGCTGAATGTGTGTCTGTTCCTGTTCTTTGTATTGTCTTAGATCTTCTTTGTGAACTGTATTCAGTCTTGTTTATTAGGCTTCTAGTGTAATGTGTGTTTTTAGAGCAATAAAATGTGGCAGCTTTTTATACAAAATATCTGGCTCTGCCTCTTTCACAGTCCTTAAGTACAAGAGACTCATCTGGGAAGCTGCACACTGCTGTGGTCCCCTTGTTGCAGTCCTCATCCGCCTCTCCCATCCCACCTGCCTGCAGCTCCCTTCTTTGCAAATCAAGGCAACATCTCACATTTGGAGACAAAACTGTTTTATTCTTGCAACTACATGACAAACTTTCATCAGAACGGCTACAGCTGCTAACTCTGTTCCAGCCAAACCCTCAGGCTCTCAGGCTGCTTTGGTGGCTGTTGCACGAAGCACTTCCGTGGTTTCTTGTCCACAGCATGTGTTTTATTTTCCAGGACATCTTTATCTCCAGCCTGGAGCTGGTTACCTGGTCCCATACCTTGCATCGACCTGTTGCCCAGAGCGCAACAGTTAGTGTTGAATAATGGGAAGAGAAAGTAAAGTTCCAGCTGGCAACTTCTACGTCCAAAGTGAGATGATCATTGCTGCCCCTTCCTGTCCTGTTGCCTCCACAGAGAGCTCCAGCCTCTACCTCCAGCAGCACAACAGTTCTCTTTGTTGCCCTTGAGCATGTGGACTGGACCGGTAGTCTGGCACAGCTGGCACATGGCAGCTCCTACCTCATCAACAACCTCCGGCCACTCCTGAAGAAGGCCTCGATTTGTTCCAGGGACTTGCCCTTGGTTTCTGGAATGCAGCAGCCTGTGAATAAGATGTTCCCGGCACAGATGACAGCAAAGAACAGGAATGGCACCTCAAGGCCAAAGGTGTTCTGGAAAATGGGACAGAAGATGTGAGCTGGTGCAGAGGGAGTCAGGAGGGGCTGCAGAACCCCCTCCCAGGGCAGTACCCACCACGGCCAGGAGGAAGGACTGGGTCAGGGCGAAGGCTGTCAGCCAGCTCACGACGACACAGAGGCCTGAGGCCACCCCGCGGGCTTTCAGAGGGAGGATCTCTGACATGAGCAGCCAAGTAATGGGGCCCCAGCCCATGGCATAACCTGCAGGGAGGAGGGGTAAGGGGAGGCGGTTGAGGATTTGAAGCCTGCTGGGGAGTGCAGAAGAGCCCTGTGTAATCCTGCCCTGCCCTCCATCAATCTTTATTCCTGCCCATTCATGCTCTGTCAGCCCTCAGAGTGACTTCAGATGCCATCTCTCTTGGTCTTCCAGGGACACCTGCCTCCATTCCAACTCTGAGCCCAATCTCTTTGCTCCGTATTACCCTGCCTGGGTAAGAAGAGTCCCCCCAGCCTGGTACTCAGCTCTGTGCTGTGGGTCCTGGGCTCTCTTGCTTTCTGCACTTACCCATTATGAAGAACATGGTTGCCAGAAGGGGGATGAGGGTGATATAGTTTGTCGGCTCAGCAAAAGGGTTGGCAGAGCTCACCAGGCTCTTGTTGGCAATGGTGCTATTCTGAGTAGCTGGCACGAAGTGGATGTAGAGCCCCATGGTCAGGTTGGAGACCAACATGACACCAGCTGTGGAGAGATGCAACAGCACAGTGGGACTGATGGGTGAGCGATCCCCTCTATGCCAAGGACTGATCTGGGAACGCCTCTGCTTAGGAGCTGAGTCACCAGCAAAGGAAAGAGACCTCCCTACTCCCTGCCCCAGTTCTGCATGGCTGAAGTTTCCACTCCTGCATGTTTGCAGAGCTCCTGAAAGTCCTTCAATAACAGCTTCTCTTGTGCAACAGCACGTGAGACATACCTGATACAAAAAGAAGAATCTTCCTCCCAGCTTTATCCATTGACACAGCAGCAATCGCCACCGAGAACAGACGTACCAATCCAACAAGAGCTGCATCGTACTCTGGTTTCTGCAATGGCAAAAGCAGTGGGGAAGCTGAGGTCGAGAGTCGGGGAAAGAGCAGGTTCCTACATGTGTTGCCTTGACTCTGGCTGGTGACTTTGTCAAAGCTGTTCTCCTATAGTAAGAGACCAGAAGATCTGAAGCTCAAAGAGTGGGGAGACAGTAGGGCCAGTACTGCTCCCCAGCCTCCCACATCCTCACTGGCTATTGGCTGCTAACCAAGTACTTTAGAAAGGGCTCCAAAGTTGGGAACATAGGACTGCAGGGGACTTGGAGCATTGGGCAGCTGTTGCTAAAGTCAAGGCAATGGGAGCATGGGCCCAGTCCCAGGGCTCACCAGAATGACGGAAGTTTTCTTGAATATTGGCTGCAGGTACACAAGGATGCAAGTGACACCTGAGAGCTGCTGCAGGAACCTCATCCCCCCTGCGATCAGGATGGGCTTGTAAATGAAGGGGTCCTTGACCTCAGCACACGAAACACGCCGGCTCTGGAGAGACAAAGCCAGGAAACTGAAGTGACTCCCTCTGGGCACCACCGTGGCTCCCGGAAGATGGCTCAGGAGTTGCCTAAAGGAGGCTGGATTGTGCGGTTTCCATGCTGGAGGTGAGCATCCTCACCTGCTTCCTCACGCTGTCCTTGATCTGCTCGTACTCCCTGGTGTAGTCTGTGTCCTTACCCCGCAGCCAGCACAGTGACCACAACGCCTCGTCCTCCTTCCCCTGGGAGAGCAGGAACCGGGGCGAGTTGGGCATGAAGCAGAGCAGGACACTCATGGCGAGCACGGGCACCTCCCCAGCGATGGCCAGCCAGCGCCAGTCCAGCACCAGCCCTGCAGGAGCAGCACAGTCAGGAGGAGAAGGCATGTGGGGAAGGGTGTCCTGGTGCCTTCATGTAGGCAATCCCACAATTTAAATTTAATAAATCCAGCAGGGGTAAAACATTGAGTAGTGGCACATGTTTTTCTCCTAGAAAAGAAGCATTTTCAGCTGCACAATACAGGAAATTTCCAGCAAGCTCCCCCAGTCTTAGAGTATCCAGCAAGATCCTGCAGCAATCAGGGCACATGCTCGCAGGAGATGCACGCACAGTTCATCATGTGCTGCTTTTCAGCCCTGGCAAAACTCTGGCAGGACCTGGGTCTGTAGGTGTGGTAATGGCCATGGGTCCATGCAGGTTATGGGTTCATCTGTCTGGGTACACACACACAAGTGCAAGTCACACAGGGGTGATCCTGTCCAGGCCCCCTTTGCACACCTGTGTTGGTGGCTGTGAGGGAAAGGAATTCATCAACTTGCTGACAAAGTTCAAAATAAACTCCCCTTCCCCAAGGTCCCACTGAGGATTTCCTGCCCTCTAAACACCGAGATACTTGCCCAGCGCATACAGGACGAGGGAGCCCAGCACTGCCATCATCTGAGGACAAGCGCCCAGCGTGCCTCGGACCTCAGGGTGGGAGATCTCTGAGATGTACACCTGGAGCAGGACAACACACTCTCAACAGAGCTCCAGTACATGCCTATTGCCACTAAAACTTGAACTCCGTCACCTTGCAGTGATCCACTGTGGCCAAGGGAAACCCGGACTGCTGTGAAACTGTCCTCTGGGGGTGGAAACCTGACCAACCCAGCACCAGGAGCTTTGTAGGCACCGCTAATATCCTCCCTCTCCCAGCATGGGAGAAGTGCTCCAGCAGCACACTCAGACTCCCATTACTGGAAAGTCATGCCCCAGGGTTGCTCAATGCTCGCCTTCCTCTCTGCATGCAACACGAGGTTAGCGTTTGGTAAATGCAGAGGGAACGACTGCTTCCAGAACAGGGAAGGGCTGAGGACTTGCCTTCCCTTTTCTGCAGGCAAGAAAGTCCAGCACCGTGGGACTTTCCGGCGCATCCTCCCCAGCCCCAGTCACCAGCCACAGCACTGGAGCTCTGCTGATGCCTTCCGAAAGCAGCGGGATGTCCCAGGCTCAGCTACAGCCCCATCTCCTGCTGTGCAACCCCCCGACAAGCTCCCTCCCGCGGCACATTACCGGGATGGAGGCAGATGTCACGCCGCCAGCGTAGCCTGTGAGCACGCGGCCCAGCAGCAGCATCCCGATCCCCTGGGCACCAGCCATCAGCGTGGAGCTCTGCTGATGCCTTCCGAAAGCAGCGGGATGTCCCAGGCTCAGCTACAGCCCCATCTCCTGCTGTGCAACCCCCCGACAAGCTCCCTCCCGCGGCACATTACCGGGATGGAGGCAGATGTCACGCCGCCAGCGTAGCCTGTGAGCACGCGGCCCAGCAGCAGCATCCCGATCCCCTGGGCACCAGCCATCAGCGCGTATCCCACGGCGGAGGGCAGTGCCGAGAACATGATGCTCAGTTTGCGGCCCAGGAGGTCGTTGAGGAGCATGGCGCTGAGCCCCCCCGCCGCAGCCCCCAGCATGAACACCGACTGCGGGGACATAGAGAGGGAGCCCTGTGGGTCTGGGCTGCCCTGGCTCTGGCTCCTTCCCCTGCAGGGACAACCCTGCTCCTTACCCCAAACCAGGATGCTGTGTTCTGGTCCAGCCTCAGCGTGGGGCTGGGGTGAGCTTCCAGGGCAGGAATGACGGGTGAGGGGTAAACCAGGGCAAAGCCAAAGCTGAAGTTCCCCAGAACAGCGGCAAGCACAGCCAGGTAGAGCCGCTTGTTGTGGAGGCTCCTGAGGGAGGGACAGAGAGGAAGGAAGCTGGGTGCCCTTATCGCACCCGACAGAAAGTTTAACTCTGTCTTGCAGCTTCCCCCAGCCTTGGCCGAGGCTCTCGTGGCACCCATGGGGTTTCCTGGGAAATGGTTCTGCACAGCGCCAGGCTGGGGAGTTTCTCCAAGTGGAGCAGCAGCTGCTGCTGCCGTGTAGTGGGGAGCAAGAGCCTGTACCCTGGGCACTGCCAATGCTCTCCTCTGCACCAGGCAGCTTTCAGAGGGTTCAACAGATGGAGAAAAGCAGAAGCTGGAGCCAGGCAGCAGCCGGCTCATCCCGGTGCAGCAGGGACGGGGTTCTTTTCAAGACCCCCAGCAGTAACATGTGTCCCCATGAGAGCTGGATGGCCCGCAAGAACGCACACCCGCAGCTCTCCCAGGTGGGCTCATCCAGCACTGCACACCCTGGGCAGGATGAGACCCCATCTCAAGGCAATTCAGGAATAACAGCAGCATGAAGCAGCTTTTCCACCAGCTGCCCCCAGCCCAGTGGTCTTGGGATGGGGGCACAGCCCACCCCGCAGGCATTCCCGTGGCCCAGCCTGGCCCTTACTGCAGGGATTCCCTGTCGAGCCTCTTGCCAGTGCTCTCAGGGAAGGTCCGGTACGAGAAGCTCATCCTCCTGATGAGAGGCTCGCGTGCGCTTGGC